CAATAGAGCCTGAGTTTGTTGTTTAAATATCTTTGATGCTGTGTCATAACAAATTAGCTTCTAAATGTTGCCAATTTGGCAGACAAAGCTGATTATTTCCTGCAATCACACTGCATATGTGCACAAGATTATAATTAATGACCAGGAATGCCAGCCATACTTGAATAATGATCCTTCAATGTTTAGGAGCTGAGCAGAGCAATTGGCATTTGTGCCCTCTTTTGGGGCAGAGGCGAGACAAAAAAGGCATTGAATCTGGATAGATCTATCAGTGTCAGGAAGTCAATAGTTTGCTGATTTCTGTTATAAATTTGAAGATTCTGGGGGAGTTATTGACGGAGTTGCTGCTGTGAATATTAACAGAGTGTTTATGTAGCCTTCACTGAAGCAGTGAAAGTCTTAATTAGATTGGAATTGGTCTTTTGGCAACTTTGCAATATTTGCTTCCTCAACATACCAGAATGCTACATGAAGGCTCTGATAGTGATATCTTTCAGAAGAATTATTGAGTACAAAATGTCAAGATATCAAAGGTGTTTAATCATAATGAGATCAGATTTATCAACTCTAACTTGCCTACAGTTTATATTTTTTTAGACTATATTTTTCATTACTTGACAACAATGTGGCCAAGAAGGAGTTTTTTAACTAGACAATAGCATCAAAGATTAAAAGGGAGCAAGGGGAGAGAGAGAGAAAGCACACATTTTAATATGTGAAGTCTATTTTAAGAAAATAATTTTAAATGCTGAAATTCCAAAGTAAAGTGCAGAGTGACTCTGATTTATTTATTTATTTATTGTAAAATCAGAGTTATAGAGAGGAAAGAGAAATCTTTCATCCACTGGTTACTCCCCAGATGGCTGCAATGGTTGGGGCTTGGCCAAGCTGAAGTCAGAAGCTAGGAGCTTCTTCCAGTTCTTCCATGAAGGTAGCAGGGTCCAAGTACTCGGGCCATCTTCCACTGCTTTCCCAGGTTACTAGCAGGGAGCTGGATTGGAATTAGAGCAGCTGGAACATGAACCAATGCCTGTAAGGAATGTTGGCACTGCAGGCAGCAGCTTTACCTGTGATGCCGCTGTGCTAGTCCCAGTGATTACATTTACAATAGGTGTATTTAGAGATACTAACTCCAAGCAGTAGCTCAGTAAAACCTCTTGTGTTAGTAAAAAATAAAGCAAGGAACTGACTTCTTATGTCATAATACCACTTTCAGAACATGACAAGAGAGTCTACAGTCCCTGATTTCTTAACGATGACTTGGATGACATTTTCCTGGAGTTTATCAATAAATAGATTCTTCACTTAGAAGTATTATCTTTTTTTTTTTTTTTTTTTTTTTTTTTGACAGGCAGAGTGGACAGTGAGAGAGACAGAGAGAAAAGTCTTCCTTTTGCTGTTGGTTCACCCTCCAGTGGCCGCTGCGGAGCAGCGCACCACGCTGATCTGAAGCCAGGATCTAGGTGCTTCTCTTGGTCTCCTATGCAGGTGCAGGGCCCAAGGACTTGGGCCATCCTCCTCTGCACTCCCGGGCCACAGCAGAGAGCTGGACTGGAAGAGGAGCAACCAGGACAGAATCTGGCGCCCCAGACTGGGACTGGAACCTGGGGTGCCAGCGCTGCAGGCGGAGGATTAACCTATTGAGCTGCGGCGCTGGCCAGAAGTATTATTTTTCATCATGTGTGTATGTGTGTATGTGTTTGATCTTCTAGTTTTACCAAGATGTTAAAATTAGGGAAATTATATGCCATCTATTTCCTTTTGTTCATATTTGTATTGAATAAACATATAAGGATTGACATACAGAAAAAGCTACCTTAGGGATATCAAGATTATTTATCTTTTGAGGCCTCCATTGGCTAAAGCAGAAAAATATTTTTCAGAAACTCATCAACCGCTTTTACACAAGACTTTCTTCATTCTTCAGAAAGAGATATGGGGTAGGACCATGTGGTTGATTGTAGGAGACTGAACAGGACTTTGTGTAAGTGGCGCAAACTTTTTGATTTCTTTAAAACTTAAAATTTATTTTATCAAATTTACTGAAGAATAATCTCTGCCCATCACATTCTATACATTCAAAGTGTATAATGTGATGAATTTTGACAAATACATAAAATATTCTACAAAATGCAAATTAAGATATTGGAGAACCAAAAAGAAATCTACAGCTTTCTGGTTTGGGGCAGAAGTAAGAATCGACTATAATGAATGGAAATGGAAGCACATTATATCCTGATTGTGGCCATGATTTCATAGGTGTACTTTTTTTTTAAAGGTTTATTTTAATTATTTGAAAGGCAAAGTTACACGGGGTGTGGAGAGAGAGAGAGAGAGAGTCTTCCATCTGCTGGTTCACTCCCCAAGTAGCTGAAATGATTGGAGCTGGGCTGATCTGATCTGAAGCTGGGAGCCAGGAGCCAGTAGCTTCTTCTGGGTCTCCCATACTTGTACAGGGGCCCAAGGACTTGGGCCATCTTTTGCTGCTTTCCCAGGCCATAACAGAGAGCTGGATCAGAAGTGGAACAGCCAGGACTTGAACCAGCACCTATATGGGATGCCAGCACTGCAGGTGGTGGCTTTACCTACTATGGCACAGTGTTGGCCCCTCATAGGTGTACTTTTAAAAGATTTATTTTATTTCTTTGAAAGAGTTACAGAGGGATAGAGGGGGAAAAGAGAGAGAGGGAGAGAGAGAGGGAGGGAGAGAGAAAGAGATAGAGGGAGGGAGAGAAAGAGGGAGAGAGAGAGAGAGAGAGAGATCGAGATCGAGATCGAGAGAGAGATCTTCTGTCTGCTTGTTTACTCCCCAAATTGCTGTAATAGCTGGGACTGGGCCAGGTGGAAGCCAGGAGCCAGGAGCTTCATCTGAGTCTCCCAAGTGGGATCAGATGCCCAACTACTTGGGTCATCTTCCACTGCTTTCCCAGGCACATAAACAGGGAGCTGGATCAGAAGTGGAACAGTTGGGACTCATACTGGTGCCCACATGGGATGCTAGCATTGCAGGCGGTGGCTCAACTCATTATGCCACAACACCAGCCCTGGTGTAAGAGCTTTTGATCAAAAACGTTCTGAGATTCTCTTATTTTTTTTAATGGACTGTGTGAGTATTGATTCAATCTTATTTCTTTTTTTTTATTTTTTGACAGGCAGAGTGGACAGTGAGAGAGAGAGAGACAGAGAGAAAGGTCTTCCTTTGCTGTTGGTTCAATCTTATTTCCGTGTAAGGGTTTTCTAGGGGTTTTGCTCTCAATTTCTTCTTCCTATTTGAGTCATAAAGGTTTTTTATTTTATTTTATTTTATTTTTTATTTTTATTTATTTATTTTTTTTTGACAGGCAGAGTGGACAGTGAGAGAGAGAGACAGAGAGAAAGGTCTTCCTTTGCCGTTGGTTCACCCTCCAATGGCCGCCGCGGAGGTGCACTGCAGCCGGCGCACCGCGCTGATCCGGTAGCAGGAGCCAGGAGCCAGGTGCTTTTCCTGGTCTCCCATGGGGTGCAGGGCCCAAGCACTTGGGCCATCCTCCACTGCACTCCCTGGCCACAGCAGAGAGCTGGCCTGGAAGAGGGGCAACCGGGACAGAATCCGGCGCCCCGACCGGTTCTAGAACCCGGTGTGCCGGCGCCGCTAGGCGGAGGATTAGCCTAGTGAGCCGCAGCGCCGGCCCGAGTCATAAAGGTTTTTAATAGAAAACTCAAAAAATGATAATAGCGTATGTAGAAATTGTTATATACAGATTGAAATTAACTGCTTTATGAAGTTGATGTTTACAGAAAGTTAAATGCTCATGCTTTGCAGTTTAATAATTTGCATAATGATAAAGGCTCTAAAATGAAAACTAAAGAATGCATAGAAAAGTAATACTAAGTCTCATGAATATGACCAAACTCTGGAGTACTTCACTGGGATCAGAGATTCATGTCATCTCCACTGTCATGGGCACTTTTGCAGTATTATCTTAACTTCACAGGAGAGAAGTAATTAATTATGTTATCTTTGCAATATACCTTATATACTAACTCTACCTACTTTTGATAAAGTCATTCCATTGCTTTCTATCATTTCTCTTTGTAATTTCAGTATAATTTCTTCTCTGGAAAAATTTTAGATTTTATTATAATTACCTTATAGAGCTGTGTATGTCCTTAACCTTTGCTGAAGAAATACAGTGGACAAAAAGCAAATCCTAACTTACATTAATGGAATAAATTTGTTGTATTCAAAGTTGATGCTCAAATAGAAGCTCTAATTAACCTGCTAAGAGTCAGATTGGGGACATGAGGTCTTTGGGAAACTGCCATGTACCTCATCATGCCATAGTCTCCTGTATTCCTTTACTACAATATACTCAATCTCAGCTCTGCATTTACATTTGCAGAAATACAACTCCTACGAATACATTCTAGAAATGTTCCTCCTCTGGAATATTTTCATTTTAATGAAATCATACCACAGAAACTGAATTCATGAAGCTTAAAAAGATAGTATTTGTTTAAATTAATGGGAGGAAGAGGATTTGAAGGTCCATAAAGATTTTTTTTTTAAGATTTGTTTATTTGAAAGGTAGAATGACAGAAAGAGAGGGAGACAGAAAAAGAGATATTTTTTTCTGTTGGTTTACTACCTAAATGACTGCAACCACTAGGGTGGGATCAGGCTGAAGCCTGGAGCCAAGAACTCCATCTGGGTCTCCCACTGGCGGCAGGGGTCTAAGTACTTGCACAATCTTCTGCTCCTTTCCCATGCACATTAGCAGTGGGCTTGATCCAAAGGATAGGAGCTGAGACTGGAACCACCACTCGGACATGGGATGCTGGCCTTGTAACCAACTGATTAACCCACTGCACCACCATGATTTTGTAGTGATTTGATTTTCAGATTTGATACTGGCATAGGATATATATTGTGTAGATATTTAGTAGTCTAGAGATCCTGAAGAAAAATCCAATAGGCAGCTGATACTATATGTTACTGTTTTTGTAAGAAATATAGTATAGTGCTCGCTTTGGCAGCACATGTTCTAAAATTGGAATGATACAGAGAAGATTAGCATGGCCCCTGCACAAGGATGACATGCAAATTCGTGAAGCATTCCATATTTAAAAAAAATAAATATAATATAGATTTCAATTCCATATAAGTTGCATTGAATTAAGCAGCAGAATATAGAACTCATTTTTCTTGCAATGTAACTTCTTGGGCCAAGTGCTTTCATTGTCTGTATAATATCTGATATATATTTGAACACTATTGAGTAAACATTCTTCGAGACTCATATGTCCTTAGCCTTTGCTGAAGAAATATGAAACATTGACCTTGCCATTATACCATTTATAATGACAAAAATTAAAGAAAATTTAGTACTTCATTGCATGGATTTAAGAGAAATTAAAAGAAAGGTGTAGAAAAGTCAAATTCATTTGGAAGATGAGATTTCCAGAACTGTGTTTGAAAGAGAGATACATTTTGTAATTGCCCGAATTATCACAGATTTGTAAGGGCTATGGAAAAGTCATTTGATAGGTAAGGAGAGAATAATATAATGGAAATTGCTTTTCGCTCTTTTGTTCTGAGACCAGTCTCACATGTGCCTTGAGACAGTATTCAACTGGGGTAAGTGGTATGTGTTTAAGAACTTTAATTTAGTGGTGGTGTTTCAGTGTCTGTGTACTTTACCATGCAAAGGGTTGTTTAAGCACCAGCATCTTTGGCATTACCCAGTACTTTGTTAGGAAGGCAGAAGCTTATGACTCAATCCAGCCTTACTTGATCAGACTCTGCACTTCAGCAAGTTCCCAGGTGATGTAAATGCACAGTAAAATTTAAGAACTACTACTAGACATCCTGGAATCACTTAGGAAGCTATGAAAATCCTGATGCCAAGTCACATTCCATGTCTGTTATCTGTCAAGTCAAAATGCCATGAGTAGCTAGAGCAATGAGCATTAGGATTCTTTTTAAAAATTTTCTCAGGTAGTTCAGTGTGCATCAGTTTGGGCATCAGTGTACAAGGTATCACCACCTTGGCTCTTAGAGTAGCAGCAGGTAGAATCCAGGAGCATCTCTCAATACTTTATAAACTTGGACTAAGTTGCCTTTACAAATTCTCCCTGAGTACCCACAGGTATTAGCATATCCTTTTAATCTGTGTGTGAAAATTTAATTAGACATCATTTGAGCATCTGCTCTTGAGACTGACTTCGCTTTTCTCAAGATTTTTCTTCAGACAGGTTTGCCTGCATAAAATATAAAACATTGAAATTTCTGTTTCCCTTAAGGAATATGCAGTAACACAATTTGATCAAAGATAAATATGATGAAGTAAAATAGGATGTACTGTAAAATAACGTATTCTCCCTCTATGACAATTCATCTTAAATTCTCTTTTGTCTAGATAACTCCTCTAATGAATACAGATATTTTTATCTTTTAAAATAATTATTTCTTTTCCCTAAGTTTTGAATAATAGTCAGGAAGGTATCATTATTTAATCATTCATACTGATAAGAATGCCTTTAAAAATGATAAACATTCAAAACAGTAAAACATTACATGTTAGACATGTGGGGAAATCAAAGAGAATCAATATATCTGGAAAATACATTAATATACCTTTTGTACTTTCCTATGGAACTTTCAGAGAGGTTTATGAATCCAAATTTGAATTAGAACTGAAAGAATCAGGTATCTATTTTCCTGTATATTGCTGCCATTTGATTTTTCGGTTTTACTTACATGTATGCTTACATTATACCTCAGTAACTTTCCTTAAGGTACACCTAAGGCCACGATGAAAAATAATACAAAACCTCATTTTAAAGCATCCTTAAGTTACATTTGGAGGTAAACAGGACAAATATAAATGTATTTCTTTCCCAAATAGTATTTTGATATTTTTTCTAAGTATTTTTGTGTTTATTTGTATATTCACTCTTTTTTAAAAAAGATTTATTTATTTATTTGAAAGTCAGAGTTGCACAGAAAGAGAAGAAAGGCAGAGAGAGAGAGAGAGAGAGAGAGAGAGAGAGAGATAGATCTTCCATCCAATGGTTCATTCCCCAATTGGCCGCAATGGCCAGAGCTGTGCTGATCTGAAGCCAGAAGCCAAGGACTTGGGCCATCTTCCACTGCTTTCCCAGGCCATAACAGAGAGTTGAATCAGAAGTGGAGCAGCTGGGTCTCAAACTGGTGTCCATATGGGATGCCAGTGCTTCAGGCCAGGGCGTTAACCCACTGCGCCACAGCGCTGGCCCCCATTCTACTTATATTAAATACCTAGAATAAACAAATCTGTTAGACAGAAAGTAAACTTTTAACAGTGAGGAGATGAATGGGCTGTTGCTGCTAACAGGGTGATGAAAATAAAATTAATGATGACAGTTGCACAATTATGAGAATCTACTAAAAACCACTATACTGTATATTTTAAAATGGTGAATTTTTTGATAAATTATACTTCAATAATGCTGTTATTAAAAAGCACTAAAATTATAAATTGTCTTCCACATACATTCTTCAAAATAATTTCACATTTTCTAAATTAGTATATATACCAATATAGACACATGCATATGCATTCATTATGTGGTGATGTTAACTGATCACTTGATTACTATTGATCACTTGATTACTACTTTATGCACTGGAAGATAAATATTTTCCCTCTTTAAAAACATTTTTTAAAGATTTTATTTATTTATTTATCTATTTGAGAGGTAGAGTTACAGACAGTGAGAGGGAGGGACAGAAGGTTTTCATTTCGCTGGTGTACTCCCTAAATGGCCTCAATGGCTGGAGCTGCGCCAATCCAAAGCCAGGAGCCAGGAGCTTCCTCTTGGTCTCCTACGTGGGTGCAGGGACCTGAAGACTTGGGCCATTTTCTACTGCTCTCCCGCGCCATTGGAAGCAGAGCAGCTAGGACTTGAACTGGCACCCATATGGGATGCCAACACCACAGGCATTGGCTTTACTCTGCTACCTTTTTTTTTTTTAAGATTTATTTTATTTATTTGAAGGACAGAGTTACAGAGAGAGGTAGAGACAGAGAGAGAGGTCTTCCATCTTTTGGTTCACTCCCCAGATGGCTGCAATAGCTGGAGCTGAGCAGATCCAAAGCCAGAAGCCAGGAGCCAGGAGCTTCTTCCAGGTCTCCCACGTGGGTGCAGGGGCCCAAACACTTGGGCCATCTTCCACTGCTTTCCCATCCATAGCAGAGATCTGGACTGGAAGAGGAACAGCCAAGACTCAAGCCAGCACCCATACGGGATGCCGGCACTTCGGGCCAGGGCTTTAACCTGCGGCACCACAGTGCTGCCCCCCCCCCCCCCCTTCTAATACGATTCTCTGTTTAGGGGCCTGGGAAACAGTGAATTTTTTTTTCCTATTTCTGTGAAGAATGCCACTGGTATTTTCCTGAGGATTGGAAAGAATTTGTAAACTGCTTTGGATAATATGTACATCATAAGAACATTAATTTTTTCGGTCTATGAACGTGGGAGAACTTTCCTGTTTGTGGGTGTGACTATTTTATCAGTGTTTTTCTTTTTTACATCCTTGGTTAAATTTATTCCTATGTTGCTTTTTCTTTGTAAATATTGGGAATGGGAATGCTTTCATTATTTCTTGCTCAGTAAGTTTATTCTTATATATTGTAGTAGTACATAAAGCTACTACTGAATATTATATATTGATTTTGTATTCTATAATTTACTGAATTCATTTTTTGTTGTTATAATAGTCTTTTGGTCAAGACTAGGTTTTTCTCTATATAGATTCATATCATCTGCTGACAGTGGAAATTTAAATTCCTTCTTTTCTACTTGTGAAGAGTACTCTCATTATATTTATATGCCTACATTTGGATTTGTTCTTATTTTGTATCCCTCCCACTATCATTTATCCTCATCAACATTTCATCCTTGTTTAAGCCCTACTTTAGAAATTAGGAAACTCTGAATCAGTGACTGTATTTTTAACTATGAAAGTTATGGTATTTCTTTGATACTAGAAGAGAAATCCACATCTTATAAATATTATTCCTGTACATATTCTGCTATGCAATATTACTGTTCCACATCTGAATGGGTATGATGATTTTGAACACCCAGGAATGTGTTCTGTAGTATTTCTTTTATATGAAGCACAGCACTTGTCTTTGTGAGCAGGTATAGCATGTGGAACCTCATTAACCAACTCTGAAATCTCCAATTATAAAAGTCAACGTAAATAGACATGTTTACTACATCCTAATACATGCTCTTTTTTACATAAAATATAGTAGTACAGCTGGCAAGACAGCCTTATAAAGTAATGGTTCCTATGAACCATAAATCCAAATAACTGAATGATAGATAAATGGGGTTGTAAAATATGTATCAGTGGTTAGAATTTGTGTGTGATTGGATTAACATAAATAGTCTAGCCCGGGGTGCTATTCTGTGGATTAGTCCTTAATAACTCAAGTTTAAAACTGGTAAAAACCATCAACAAAGTCCCTGAGTCTCTTCACTTCATATTATTTAACAGATTTTAAAATAAATAGCAGTTACTCTGCATCTCTTTACTGATTTTATTGGTATATGTTTGATTTATACTTTTTAAATTCAGATCAGTTTATGTTTTTAAGCTAACAAGAAAACTCTGCTAGTTTTGCTGTTGACAAGTACAGAAACTCACATAATTCTTAGTAGCTGAAATGGTATCTATGACCTTGAATAACATAAAACCTAAATAGGAATGGAATTTTGATTTTAAATTTTGTTCTATTCACAATGCAAGATAAGATAGAGTGAATTCAATTCTCTAACTCATCTAATGTAGTTGAAAATAATTATTATGCCATTTTGTAGACTAACTAGAATTTAATTTTCTTTCTGAAAGTATGTAAAATATTCTGTGTGGGAAAACAAAAATAAAATATTCTGGCTGTCTATCATGGAGGCTCAAGGAGGGCAGATTCAAAGGATGTCTGAATCTGTTACTTGTCCATAGTGCCTGGCCCAAAAGAAGCATTCAGTACATTCTTTCTAATTGAATGAATGTTTGAGTGAACAAACTCTTCTTGATATGACACAGACCAAATTTGGAAATTAAAATTATAGACA